AATTTTTCTTCAATTACTTCACAATTATGATCTTTGCTCTTGTATCAAAGTATTCTCGAATTCATCCTATATTGGGAGAAAAATATATTAGAATTAACATAAATTAAATGATTTCATAACAATTCAAAGTATAATTATATCAACTTTTTACCACTTAACACATAACGAAGTATTGAAATTGATATATTAAAAAAAGTAAGGTTTTTACCACTTAATAATTAATAAATATGTTAATTGGATTCTTATATTAACTCATGTATGTTTGAATTATGGACACGTAACATTATCAAAATTAGTATGTAAACACCATTAATTCAAAAGTAATTAAATAAATGTTAAGATGAAATTAATATATCTAGTAACGGTTGGATATTATTAACTTTTATATTAATTTCGAAACAAATAAATTTTGAAGATAAAAAACTTGTTTACTATATATGTATAAAAAAGTGAAGGGTGGAAAGTGAACATACAAATGTGAGGGTCCGTCCATATGTATATTTCATTTGACACTGGAAAAGGTGTGTATGAAGTGATGATAAAAATCACATGAGAAAGAAGTGTCTTTATGAGTTAAAACCCCATGAATTGTTGTATCATGAAAGGTGGATTGATTTAGAGCATAGAAAGTGGTGGGTCAGCATTAACCTTGTAGCTAACATGCATTGCTTTCGTTGCCTCCCTCTGGACATTTCATGTATGTTTCTTGTTTAGGTGGTCTGGATTTTCCTTTTCCTCTCGGAGAAGCATTTTGTCTACATTCTTTCTATCACATTTTAGTACACATTAACATATTACACATCATATCTTTTTATTATATAAAAATAAAAATAAAAATGATTCTTATGCATGGTTGTCTTTCTAAGCTTCCCGATGTCTTTTAAAAAGTATTTTGATGGGTTGAAAGAGAAAATGTATATAAACGATCTCGACTCCTAAGAGATGTGAGATTCATAAACGTATCTAAACATAAGCCCAATCGATGACTAAAAGGTATGAGTGAAGTGAGATTTTACTATTGACTTGAAATAAGAGTGTTCTCGAGAATGTATATATAATTGATTTTGACTCTTAAGTGATGTGAGACTTATGAGCATATCTAAATATAAGCCCCAATCGAGGACTAAGTGGTATGGGTGAAGTGAGATTCTACTCTTGATCCCACGGTGGACGTCAATGTTCCATCTAAAAATAAGAGTGTTCCAGAGAATGTATATAAATAACCATTGACCTTGAATTCTAAGTAATATGAAACTTATGAGCGTATCTAAACATAAGCCCCAATCGAGGACTTAGGGGTATGAGTGAAGCGAAATTCTACTATTGGTCCTACGGTGGACGCCAAGTTCCGTCTAAAAATAAAAATATTCTGGTTTCATGTCCGCTATGATAATATCATTAGGATCAATTCTCATATTCGAGTTAATATCCACTTTAGAACTCTTGTTTATCATGATTTTGTTCTTAAAAGACACCTTGATGAGTTGAAGAAGAAAAATATGTATATAAACTACTTTTGGTCTCGACCTTTTTATTAATAAACGTAGTGAAACAATAACTAATCAGGTAATTCTACAAAAATTTCCAAATAAGATGGAAAATTTTGTAACGAATACTCATATGCTCAGAAATGCAACATAATCTAAACGGGTTGCTATGGTTTTGCACTGGTCATGTTGTGTTTTTTGCGTTTTATAATTGAAGTTGTCAATTTGTGTCTTCTTTCTTCGTGGTTATCCAGTTATATAGGGAATTGCTTTCTTATCCACGATAATCGAATACCATTGTGTGCATATAATGTTGCAGAAGTTTGACAATTCCTTGTTCTCAAGCATATGGTTTTCATGGTGCCATTTATTGCCTAAATGTTTTATGTGTATGAAATAGTATACATGACGTAGTTGGTATGACAATTCATATGGAAATTTCCTTACTAGAATTGCATCATCTTGTATTGTTTTTCTAATTTGATAATTTCTCTTTGGCTGCATATGTATCCCTCGTGCGGTTTGTTTTAACATATGTGACATATTCTGCATGGGTAGTAGTTAGGTAAGGTGTGATTCTATACAGCTTGTTAGAATTTGGTATTGATGTTACAATAGCTAGTGCATGGTTGCTCAAAATGATCATTATCAACTCACTATTGTGGTCAACCACAAGCAGGGAAAACAATACAGAAGATGGGGTTTCATAAATCTGTAACTTTGGTATGTGTAAATTTTTAATTATAAATTTGACCCTTGAGTTTTCTAAATTATACCCTTAATTTATGTGTCTATATATATGTAAAATATTCAAACAATGGTCAATGAACTAACAAGCTCATACTATTGAAAAAAAAAAAACAAAAGTGGATATTAGATTATTTTAAAATCTTCAAAGTAAAAGAATGATTAAAAAAAGTTCCACATGAAAAATTTTATTTTCTAAACCAGCCCTTATAATTATATTTTTTTTCTTTAGAAGTTTTTTTACCTACTTAGAGAAAAAAAAAATCTTTTGAAATTTTGATAAATGTATTTTTCAACTTCTTTTTATATGACTACTCGCTATTACTTGGTATTATTCAAATAACTTCAAATTTGGTATCATTTAAGTAAAAACATTTAGACACTACAAGAAAATCTTAAATTATCGACGGATATGTATCCATCGAAAAATAAGTGATTATTGATGAAAATTATCGACGAATTTAGAGTGATTGTGGAATTTAGTCTTATCGACGGATATATCCGTCGGTAAATAAACAATTAATTACCGATTGATATATGCATCGGTAAATGAATAATTAATTATCGACAGATATATATCGTCGGTAAATAAATAATTAATTACCGACAGATATATCTATCGGTAAATAAACAAATAATTATCGACGGATATATCCGTTCGGTAAATTAATAATTTTGGTAAATAGACAATTAGTTACTGATGGATATATCCGTCGGTAATTATTTATTCATTTACCGATGTATTTACCAACGAATTTAAAATATATTTTTAAAAATTAATATTAAATTAAAAAAATTAAATATTTAAAATTATATAATAATTACTTAATTTTAAATATATTCTAATAAACACGACACACACTTTCACCGTCGAGTATGCCTTCACATCTAACATTTAAATATATAATTATATAAATATATCAAAATATATAAATATATATATATATATATTTGTATTTATATATTTTATATTTATATATTTACAAGGATATACATTTATTTGTATATAAATATAATTTATTTATAAATTATTATTAGAAAAACTTAGTAGCCTAGTGGTTCGATAATATTTACCGACAACACAATTACTGACGAATTTTTGCCCATCGGTAATATATATTTACAAGGATATACATTTATTTATATATAAATATAATTTATTTATAAATTATTATTAGAAAAACTTAGTAGCCTAGTGGTTCGGTAATATTTACTGACAACACAATTACCTGACGAATTTTTGCCCATCGGTAATATGTATTTACCGACGAATTTTGTCCGTCGAAAAATCCAATTTTCTTATAGTAAGAGTTTAGAACAAAATACATAAATACATTTAAATTAAGATTATAACAATTTTTATTGGTATCAATCAATTTAGTCGAGGAACTTATCCTTAAAAATAAACTATTCCATATGATTTATATATAAGATTTTCACATCTCATAATGATGAGTATTTATGAGGAAGTTAATAAAAGTGAGATTTTTATAAATAAACACGAGTCAACTATGTAAAAAAATGATATTATCTTTGATAAAAAATTTAAAATATTAAATTATAAATCTTTTTCACGGTTATTCTACTTTCTCGTTTTCTGCTGTGATATCAATTTACACTTATTTCCGGTATAAAATCCTTTTCACTTTGAAACAATACTAAGGTTGTTATCTTGTAACTTAGGTCATTGGTTTGTATACTAAGTCGCTCTTAATATATTGATTCAGGAAACTTATTAGAATAGAATGAATATACTGCACAAATGAAGCGTAACGTTGTGAAAGCAATGAATATCAACATAAAATGGACTAAACCATAAACAATGGAACATTCTGTCAATGTAATTCCCAGGTAAAAATAATGAAAATTGAAGGAAAATTCATAAAGGGAGCATTAAGCTAAATTAAAAATTACTGGCTCTGGATCACAACAGAACCACTTCGTTTTCCATTGTGCTGAGAAAAACATTTGATCAGAACAATTTATCAGTAATTTTCATCACCAGACTCCAGTTCAACTTCTTGTTCACTAGTCAGGATCAGCGTGGTGGAGATTACATGGATGCTATAAACATTTAATTACAATTAACCAAATAAGACAACATATTGCACACACATTAAATGCAACAAAACCCCACACTTAAACAAAAACATTTGACAGACACCTCATAGTGACAGTAAGTTGAAATGAAGAATAACATGAAATGCCATAATTAAATATCTTCATGAACAAAAATGTATTTAGGAATACTAGGTTTTTAAGGAAAATATGCCATAATGTCATTGTTTAAACAGGGAATTCAATCACAAGAACCCCTGTACAAACTACTACATGATTGACTGGTTTTCAACTCAATACTCTGCAGAGGCTTGCATTTATTTTCAATAGAATCCATTATAACAATCCATGTGTTCAACAAGCACTTTCTTAACTAGTTGTAGTTGATTTTATAGATTTTTTTAAAGTTCTAAGCCTATCATTTTTCATTTCTCAAGTTTGGTAGGGTATTTTTTTCCTTCTGGTAAAATTAAGACAGTCCTGCATTAGCTAATCTAGAATAATTTTAATATGCCACTAGACCACCTCAGAAATGAAAATGGTAACCAAAAAGGCATAAAGGATGATTGAAATGATTTTAGAAAATTTGATGCATGACATGCATACTAACAATTGAGCATATATGCACCCACCCTCTCACCCGGAGAAGAGAAAGATACCTGAAAACACACGTCTCTTCCTTACGCACTACATTCATGTTTGTGGTGGTTACTCTCCCAACCTCTGGATGTCATATATGTTAGGAACAAGACAATAATAAAGGAAAGAATAAAGGAGAGAAAAATAAACGACACAAGAATTTTAACGTGGTTCGGCTAAAATATGTATGCCTACGTCCACGACTACACTAGGAAGTATTTTATTTCTGTGTGTATCTCAAACTTTACATAGGGTTGCTTATATAACAAAATAGAGAACCTCATCTCACAATCCTAATCGATGTGGGACTAAATCAAGCACCATAATACTAACAATATATCGGAAATGTGCCTATTGCATCGAAATCTAAAACTGATATTAAGGTAGACACATATTTCTGTTTTCTAACAGTTTATCTCCGGAACACCTGAATATAGAGAGCGCTTGAACAAAACATGATCCAAAATGAAAAATGATCTCTGAGAGCTCTGAATATGAAACAATCTTCCAGCTGTTTCTGTTTTCTTGTTTTTAAAACAATTGTTTTGCAAAGAATTTTCATAACTTAATAGATTTTGGTTGAGAAATTGCTTGCTGAGTGTATAATTGTTTTAGAAAACAAATTTTGAAACAAAATAGAGATAAGAGAGACTCTTTGTCTTCCTCTTTTTTTTCCTTTTGTTTGGAAGTTCAAATTTCTTGGTGATAGAACACCAATTGATAAAGTAATAAATATAAGAAAGAACACCGTAATCACACACAATACAACAATTCAATACACTTACTGTTCCACATATATACTCCTAATGCACAACAACCACAAAATATAAAACTAATTACAACTACTGCTAAAAATAGTTATTTTCTACACATAACTGTCATTATTGCTCTGAAATCAGACTTTCCCCAGTAAAAAAGGTCCTTACATGCTTCATACTTACAATGCTTCCCTAGCGTCTATAACAAACTCTTATTATTTTAGTTATTTATGATACAAAATAAGAAAATATACTTGCCTAATATGTGTGCCCAGGAGTAAATCTCAACTTTAATTCTTGAAGTTGTTGGATGAGAGCTCCAAATATCTTGAACATGAGAATTAACCCTAACGATATTATTATAGCGGACATGAGACCAGGACATTCTTGTCTCTAGATAGATCATTGATGTCCATCGTGGGGTCGAGAGTAGAGTCTCGCTCCACTCATACCTCTTAGTCCTCGACTAGGGGACTATGTTCTGGTACTCTCATGAGTCTCACGTTGCTTAGGATTTGAGGCCAAGGGTAGTTTATATACCCTTCTCTCTTAACCCACCGAGACGCCTCAAGCAGTGGCGATCTTCTTGGGAGGTGAGGGGGGCCATGACCCCCCCAAAGTTTTGTAACTCTCATGTAATTTATGATTTTGACCCCCCAAACTTAATGAACTTTTAATATATTTACTTATATATTTACAATTTTATCTTCTTAGCCCCTCCTTAGTTTTGTAACTCTCATATAATTTATGATTTTGTCCTCCTCAAACTTAATGATCATTTAATATATTTAAGTATATATCTACAATTTTATCCTTTCACCCTTTCATCTTCTTTCTTCCTTTTATATTTATTTATTATTTATTAATAATATATTATTTGGTCCTCTCAAGATTAATGGTTAAGATCCACCACTGGCCTCAAGGACAAAACCGTGACGAACGAACACTTCAAAACGGACAATACCTCAGAGATGAGAATTAACCCCTAGCGATGTTATCATAACGAACATGACACGGGGGTACTCTTGTTCCTAGACGAACCATTTTGAGTGCAAAATCTCGCTCCACTCATATATGAGGCACCTTTAAGGACAAAATTATGACGAACCAGAGTTGCAAAGTAGACAATACCTCAAAAATGGCGCCCACTGTGGGGCCGAGGGCAAAGTCTCGCTCCACTCATACCCCTTAGTTCTCGACGGGGGCTATGTTTCAGTATTCTCATGAGCCGACATTGCTTAAGAGTCGAGGCCAAAGGTAGTTTATATATACTCTTCTCTCTTAACCCACCAAGACGCCTTTTAAGGACAAAATTATGACGGACGAGAATATAGCGAATATTAGGTTATTCCTAGATGGAACATGACTAGTCACTTTAATCCTTGACTTTACAAAACCATTAGTTTAGTTCTTATTATTAACTTGGTAAAATGTTATTCACTTAGACATTAAAGTCAATAGAAAATGTGGTGAAAAGGAATTAAAGTGCATAACATTTTGTAAAGTCTAGGACTGAAATAATGGTTTGTAAATTCAGGGACTAAAGTGAAAGATACTATTGATTTCTGTAATTAAAGTGAGAATTTTTCAGAGTTATAAAAGTAGCCCATTCCTAAGGTTGTCTTTGTGATCATTTGTATGACTAGGTAGCATAGGACTCAAGTCCACGTGACTCTAGCAATAGCAACTTGTTAAAATGACAAATATGTAAAAACCAGGATACAAAAAGATCAAGAAGGGCACATCCTCCTGGTTCTATAAGCCACGGTAGATTTGGGCCATTCTTGACCAATCCAAGCTTCTCACAAGAATGCTACAAATAGGAAAAAACAAAGTATTAGAAATATAATATAAAGTCCATTATGGGGTAGTTGGTTCATTACCGTTGTCTTGTAATGTCTCGTAGGAATCAGTCTATGACTATTGGTTGAAGATTATCCTTGGTGTAAATTAAGAAAGGGGACTCTGGTGCAAAGGGGCATGTTAAAAATATCATACATATATCATGTGTCTCATCCTATATTGAGTTCAAAGAAAATGATCTAAGAGAATTTAGAGAGTGAACATGCTTTTTATTCAGTAAAATGTGTATTACATAGTTTCTGCGTACCATCTGCATATATAATCTCTTTAAGAGACTATGTGGAGACTATTCGGTAGGATTACAGTAAGTGATGCAACTTCCTAGGCTATAATACCTATGAACACTAAATGAATCTAACCATGAGATGTATAAACTACTTTCTAACTACGTTAAATACCATTTTTCAATAGCCTAAATACCTTAAACTTTTACAATAGTTGGCTCAACAAATGCATTTTCTTTGAATATTTGTGTTAAGTTCACACTATATTTTAAGATAAAGAAGTAATTATGGTGCTGAGACTTAAAGGAGATAATATAAAATGGACGCATACCTTGCAACATAAGTGACATTCCCAGTTACATCAAAGATAAACATCAAAGGATTGATGTCCTACATATCATAGAAATGATTTAAATTCCTTCCAGTGAACTAGACAGCTAAAGGAAATGTGGTGAAAGGAAGAAATGTCCCTGCCACACTCTCGTATAAAAGAGTCTACTTGCTAAATAAGAAATAGGAACAAACAAATACCATAGTTACAGTGGTTGGGGTCCTAACCTCACAGTTACCCCTTCTGATCTGCAAAATATGAGAACGAAATCATTATAAATTAGAAGGAGAGCAAGACAAATCAATCAAGCTCAGGACAAGGAAGCCTATTAGGCGACTTTGAAACTTCCAAATATACTGCACAAAATTCCCCTTGGAAAACTCCAAAAATAAATGTTTAAATTATTTATTTTGCCATTGTTAAATACATGCAGACGGCAGATAACTCTGTTTTTTTCTTGTTTTGTATAGAACATTTATTCAAATACTTAACACAGTTATGCAATGATAAGATGAATGAGTATTAATCAACACTAGTTCAAGGAAAAAAATTATCACACATTAGATAATTTAATTAGAAGAATTTCCAATCTAAAATACTGGAAAGTATATCTCACATTTAAACAAATTTGCGGAAGGCTTCCACCCATATACATAGCTGCCATTAGACAACCAAGTAGAGTTCCAATGCTACTGTCTCCTGCCACACCATGCTCTGACAACTGATTCCCACTATCCTGCAATTTCTCTAGCGACAGAAAGGTAACAGGAAATTTTTATTTCTTTTTGCATTTTGAAAACAATGAAATATCCATGTTGGCTAGTTTTGAATCTGTATTCATCCACAAAATTATTAATTTTCTCACCCATAATTGACTAATGTTGTTGAATATAGAGTAAATAGGGTTTGAGATTAATCTCCCTTGTGTATAAACCACACATAAGGTAATCTATTTATAATAGAGTGAAGTAAAACTAAAAAAAGTAACTCAAAATAAATAGAGTAAATAGAAGATATTGTTTGATATTGTGGTTAATAATATCTAACAATATCTTAATAATATCAAACAATATCTAACATTCCCCCTCAAGTTGGAGCATACAAATCGTATGTGTCAAGCTTGTTACAAATATAATCAGTTCTAGGCCCCCATAAAGACTTAGTAAAAATATCTGTTAACTAATCACTTGAGTTAACAAACTCAGTCTTGATGTCTCCATACATAATCTTTTCTTGAATGAAATGACAGTCAATCTCAATGTGTTTGGTCTTCTCATGAAACACAGGATTAGAGCTAATATGAAAAGCAACCTAATTGTCACACACAAGTGTCATTTGAGTGACATCTCCAAATTGTAACTCTCTAAGCAATTGCTTGAGCTAAACAAGTTCACAGGCAGCTGAGGCTATAGCTCTATATTCTGCTTCTACACTGGATCTTGCCACAACACTTTGTTTCTTATTTTTCCACGAGATCAAGTTACCACCAATGGAGACACAATAACTAGATATAGATCTTCTTTCAGAGGGAGATCCTGCCCAATCAACATCTGAGTAGCAAACAACTCTTGTATGGTTATTAGAATCATATAATAATCCTTTTCCAGGAGATCCTTTAATATGAATGACTGCATTCCAATGATCTTCACATGGGGAATTAAAAAATTGGCTTACCACACTGACTGCAAAGGAAATGTCAGGATGAGTAACTGTAAGATAATTCAATTTTCTAACTAATTTTCTATATTGCTTAGGATCAGATATAGGCTTCCCCTGATTTGGTAGAAGTTTAGTATTGGGATCCATGGGTGTATCAACAGACTTTGAACTCATCAACCCAGTTTCCTCCAAAATATCCATGATGTACTTCCTCTGAGATATAACAATACCATCATTAGACTGTGCTACCTCAATACCCAAGAAATATCTGAGTTTGCCAAGATCTTTGGTCTGAAAATGGTGACAAAGATTTTGTTTCAACTAAGAGATGTTATGGTTGTCACTACCTATAAGAACGATGTCATTAACATATACTATCAAGTAAACACATCCATGTAATGCATAACACCTGTTAATCTTTCACTACAAGAAATATTAAAATTACCGACGGTCAAAATCCGTCGGTAAATGAATATTACCGACGGAATTCCGACGGCCAAAAATCTGTTGGTAATTACCGACGGATAGACGGATTTATCCGTCAGTAAATGTGTTACAAAATTACCGACGGACTGGAATCCGTCGGTAATAATTTTATTATTTATTAAATATTTTACTTATTTATAACATATTTTTTTATAGAACCCCATCCCCTTTATATTCTTATTATTTATTATTAATGATTTCATCATATTATATTTTTATAGCTTTGAATTATTAAATGACAAAGGCAGGATTCGAACCCAAGATCTTAGAGTTAGAGGTCGATACTTCAACCACTAAGTTACTAGAATTTCTTGATAACAATTTACAAATAAATTATATTTATATACAAATATACAAATATATTTATATATATTTATATATTTATATATTTATATATTTATATATTTATATATTTATATATTTTTCTATATATTTAAATATTTATTTTTTAAAATTATTTAATTTAATAAATTATTATAAATTAATCTAATTATGATTAAATTAAATTATTAAATTAAAAAATATTTTATTTTTTAATTAGGTGAATAATTAAATTATATTATATAATTTTACCGATGGATATATCCAGTCGGTAAATAATTGTTAATTTACCGACGGAAATATCCGCTCGGTAAATAATTGTTAATTTACAGATGAATTTATCGACGGATATATCCGTCGGTAATTAATTGTTAATTTATCGACGGATATATCCATCGGTAAATTCATCTATAAATTACCGACGAATTTATCGACGGATATATCCGTCGGTAACTAATTATTATTTTACCGACGGATATATCCGTCGGTAACATCAAATTCCACAAATATTTTATATCCGTCAGTAATTTCCGTCGGTAATGATTATTTTCCGACGACTACAAATCCGTCGGTAAATATCCGTCGGTAATACGCGATTTTCTTGTAGTGTTTTTCCCTGCTTGCAAGGGCAAGTCCGGCATCAAGGTGAGAAGCCAACGCAGAAGAATCATTAACAAAATTGGAAGTAGAAGAAGGAGTCGAAGAAGTCATGAAGGGCGGGAGAACAAACCCAAAAAACTCCAAAGTAATCCAATCAACCCACGAAGCACATATCCAAAACGAGAAGACCAAAACAAGTTCGTTGAGACTAAACGGCGTAGGAGACAACGGAAGACCAACTGCGATAGCGGTGATATCAATGGCATAATGGTCACCTGACCGAGACGAACAAAACCGTATGTCATCGGTCAAAAAATGAAACTCCAGTGACAGCTCCGGCGACTACTCTGGTGACGGAGGTGGTGACAGCAGCGTGAACTAGTACACCAGGTAAGTTCCCAGGAAAGAGAGGTGGGTCACTAATGGACATGCTTAAATACCAAGTATTTCCTTGTCAAAACCTTCCTAGATATGCACTTTCACACTACCAAATAATATCCAATAACAAAGATAATCCAACAGTGGACAAAGGCGAAAAAAATTTCAAAATAACCTTAAGTTCTAAATACCATGTTGAATATAAAGGAAATAGGGTTTGAGATTAAGTTCCCCTGTATATAAACCATACATAGGATAATTTATTTATAATAGAGAGAGGTACAACTAAAAAGAGTAACTGAAAATAAATAGAGTAAATTAATAGAAGATATTTTTGATATTGTGGTTAATAATATCTACTAATATCTTAATAATATCAAACAATATCTAAACAATATCTAACAAATGTGATGAGAATATGATCTTAATAAGGTAACATGTGACAGTCAATATGTGACTCATGAGACACCTTCTCATCTATTTCTTGTGCATGACATCTAAAAGAAAATTAAAACCCACTTCCTAAGTATGAATTCTTTAGGGCGATCCATTTGTTTCTGTGTTCGTATCATATCGTTAAGACCAACATTCCATCACCAAATATAACCGAACTATTTCACATTAAGAATAATAAATTTAGAAAGTTCTGATTGGATCAGCTGATTAAGTCTCTTGCAAGGACACAGGTAAGTTGTACAAATCACAACTGCAATAGAAAGTGAAGATTAGGGTATCTTTATTCTGTAGCCCTTACAACTAGACCCTAAGAATATATAGATTTGCAGCTAATCATGTTATTCATATTATTATAGTATGCAGAGGCTTTTATAACAACAGCCTCGTGGATATCCAAAGAGAAATGATATTTCTTGTACATGTGTAACAGTGTAACTAACTTGTCATTTGCAATCTGCATTACTGACATGAATCACAAATTCTTGTCTTGGATTTGAGCCAACGGAATGAGTTCTAGTTTACTGAAGTAGGTTGAAGACACCAAAAAAAGTTAATATGAAACCTGAACAAGACTAGATGTGATTACATTTCAATGCTGGCATTATTATAAATAAGTTTGCAAGGAGAAAGTTTACCAAGGACAGAGTAGTCTTGGTCTTTAAAACTGGTGCAGATTGTGTATGAATAGTTGAACTAAGCAACTGCTCTTCTATAGGGTTCGCAGTATGAGAACTAGATGTCATTCTTTGACCAGGGATACAATTTATAGGAGTATGACTTTGTGATAGATATCTTGCTGACCTAAGAAATTTAGGAAAGAGTTAGAAGAAACTTTCTATGCATTGAGAAACACATCCACTATAACCTTTTCTTGTATAGTTATGCTCATTACCTTTAAACTACATAAAAAAAATGTTCCATAACTGAGAAATACCAAAAGGATGATAAATCTTAGCAATATTTAAATAAGAGGTCACATGTCTAAGAGGATCTGAAAAGTTAAATCAACAGAAACATTAACGAGAGTTTGGAGCGATTTGCAATTGATCATTGCATGGAACCAGGTATTCACAATACAATTTATGTGTTCAGTGTTGATATTTTTACAACTGTGTTTTCGTACAATCCTTGTAATTTGTCAATTCTTTCCTCCGTTTGTCATTGTATAAATTTTAATAAATTTTTTAAGGTGATCCTGCGTGCAGTAGATTATGGAAACAGTATCATTATATATGATTGTTGAAGCACAAAATTAAGGAATTGGACAATCAACTCAATTTTCCTAGTGAGGGGTAAATCTTTGTTTTCATTGTTAACTATACATTATTTATACTTTGTTTTTATAATCTTGTCCCGTTGGAGACGTCATTGCCAGTTCCATAGAATAAATAACTTGGTATTTTTTTCTGCCTGAACATTCTCTGACCTTCCTGATTTCTAGGTTGTAGATAAAGAACACTCCATTTTACATTTTAACTCTCATGAAACCAATCCAAAATTTTCAATTAAATACTGATCTAAATAGAGAGAATCAGAACCAAGATATTTCACCTGACAAAGAAGCATTTGCATAAATTTCATTGAGAAAGATTAATTACTGATAGTATAATGGTCTTCCCACAGAATTGTGATGAGTATGCACAGGAAGAGGAATGGGTGAACTCAAACGAAGGCCTGCTTTGAAACGATCGAACTCATTGCTCTGTTCAACATGGTCGGCTCTTTCCATTTCGCTCTTGCTTTGTTCAGCATCCGTTGGTGTGTTGATCTGCACATTTTTGGAATGTTACGAACACTAATGTATATAATAATATAGGCAATTGAAGTGTATTAGAAGTTTCTCTAGCTGACTAGAGTCACTTGCAAACTTCAAACAAAAATTGGGAAGAAATAGTATATTTTGTTATTTTGTATCACTTTCTCTACCACCTACTGTGATTGTATAGTTCCAGGAAGAGATTAAACAAAAACGCCGCCAAATCCACATGCAATTAGATTGTAACATTTTTCAATATAACATCAACTACATTAGAAAAATGCCTCTTTACATGAATCTTATTAAATCTTTTTCTATCATTTAAACCCAATAAACAAAAGAAAAATGCATCCAAAACTCTACACAATTCAATTTGAGATTTAACAGATTTAATTTTGATTGCCATTTAAATCTCAATCTGGTATATAAAATCTTATTGGAAATTATTTTGCCTGGGAGTCTGTCACTAGGATGGTAGTTTAATCTCACAAAGATAACATTATTTGTCATCTACTGCTTACTCACATTCACATATCAATCTTGAAATATGAATCAACAAACATACAACAGTATATAAGAAATTTCCCTTGCAATAAAAAGTATGAGTTTGCTGTACCTTGATCTGGCTATTGTATTTCAGTCGAGGATATATGTGTCCATAGTATATGGTTTGTGAACAAAGGGTAGAAGTTATGATGATATACAGCTGTACAAAAAATAACAGAGAGCTGAAGTACCAGAGGAAGTAAAAGTCAGATAAAAATGATTTCTAGGTATCAGAACAGCTCAATCTTCAGCCAGAGTCCGTACCACTGCCGTATATAGTTGTGTAGGAATCTGCATAAACAAGAAACGAAATCATTCATTTAGCAAATATAATCTTAGAGAATGGCTGATTTAGGTAACATAAATTCTATATTGGGCTAATTTAATCTTAAAGAATGGCTGAATTCTTATATGTTACAAGATAGGCATGACTAATAATTAGTATACACTAGCTTGAAGGGAAATTTTAATCAGGAATGTGCCTCACAATTTTGTATGTATCAACAACACCAATCTTTCTCTCCTAGTTCAGCATAAATGCCAATCAGAATATGGGAAAAATAATGGTCAAGATACTGATAAGAATAAACCACCTAATATCAAGATATACACTTGGAGGAAACAAACAAAAGAAGCAACAATCCTAGACCACCAGCAACAAGGCACACAACACTCAAAGAATGCAAAACAATCAACAGTTACAACCCATCCAAGGGGTATAAAGTCAAGGGATGTGAATCAAGGGGCATAACCCCTGGAATAGATATATAACCATTAGGAAAAGTTGTATCAATTGGGAACGGTTGTTAGAAACAATATAAATAGAAGTAATCCGGATTAGGAAAGACACAAAAATGAAATTAGGAAAGAATTGTATTATGGAGAGACAGGCTTTTGAAAACCTATGTTATAAAAATATCTCAAAATTATCTTTATAGATTCTATTCATTTTTCAATGAAATTTTTTGTCAGTTTTCGTCCCTTCTCAATACACCAAACTTGTTATTCTTTTATAAGTCCTAAATATACCGGAATGTCCTCCTACCAAGGATGAATGAAATTCTTTTAAAATGATTGGAATCCGGGAGGAAGACTTGGATAGTATCAACTTCTCCTTGTAAAATAACTTTTGATCCCACAAAGTATAACCCTTATGAGATGTGGGATCAATAATTAGGTCTTGCATGATTTTTTGTAATTTGTCATCATGTTTGATCTCTTTAGCCCATTTTTCGAAATCTTGAATTTGTAAGACTGACATGGCATAATAGGAACTTCTCCTGGAAAGCGTATCGGTAGCAGAGTTTTCCTTCCCTGGTTTATACTATATTTCAAAATTCTATCCTGCCAATTTAGAGATCCATTTGTATTGTTCCTCACCGAGTACCCTTTGATTTGCCAAAAATTTCAAACCTTTTTGGTTAGTTTTAATAATAAAATGGTTTCTTAACAAGTAGTGCTGCCAATTTTTAACTGCTTTCACGACTGTCATCAATTCACGATCATATACTGATTTCCTCTAGTTTCTTTCAGATGGGGTAATGCTCTAGAAGGCTAGGGGTCTTCCTTCTTGCATTAGAACAATACCTAATCCGGTTCCACAAGCATCAATTTCAACCACAAAAGGCTTTAAAAAGTTAGAAACTGCTAATGTAGGTAATCTAGTCATGGCTTGTTTAAGTTGTTCGAAGGCAATTTGCACCTCTGGATTTCATTGGAAGGCATTTTTCTTTAGCAAGTATGTCAATGGCCTCGCTATTCTTCCATAATTATGAACAAACCTCCTATAATAGCTAGTAAGACCTAAGAATCCCCTCAAGTTGGTGACATTCTTGGGTGTAGACCATATTGTTATTGAGTCCAACTTCTTAAGATTTGATGATACTCCTTTAGTAGAAATAACATGTCCTAGATATTCCAAATTTGGTTGGTTGAATGAACATTTCCTGCCATTGATCTTCAATTTATTTTGTTGCAATAATGTCAATACATTTTATAGGTGTTGCTTGTTCCATGGAAGGGTTGCATATTAGGATATCATCGAAGAATACTAAAGCATATTTTCAGAGTACTGGCCGCAAAACTTCATTTATTAATGATTGAAGAGAGAAAGGTGCATTAGTGAGTCCAAATGGAAGTACCATAAATTCATAGTGTCCTTCATGTGTGCGGAAAATGGTTTTTGCAATGGCATCTTCCTTCATCCTGATTAGTTGATATCCTGATCTTAAATCCAATTTTGAAAATACATGAGCCCCTTCTATTTCGTCCAATAATTCTTCAATTATTGGAATGAAAAATTTGTTGGGAATTATGATTTTTTTTACGGCTAGGTAGTCTAACAAAACCACCAACTAATGTATTTCTTTCTAACTAGTATGATAGGATTGGAATAAGGACTTGTAGATGGTTTAATGATTCCTGCTTCTAACATTTTAGCAACCAATTTTTCAATCTCTATTTTTTGATAGTGAGGATACCTGTATGGTCTAATATTCGATATGTGGGCTCCTTCTTTGAGGTGAATGGCATGATCTTGACATCGTTGAGGAGGAAGTCCTTCTAGAGGCTCAAAGATGGAGGGAAAATCATTTAGCATATTTGTTTCATTATGAAGGAATTGAATTTTCCAAACTCTTTATGTTTGAATATGATGATAACTAATAAGGAACCCTTCTCCTTGATGCAAAGCTTTCAACATAATATTAAGTGAGGCATCTTTCTTTGAAAGTTCAGGTTCTCCCTTTAAAATCACCTTTCTACCATCAATCTTGAGGGTCAATGTTAGTTGTTCAAAGTTAACTCTAATCTCTCCCAAGCTTGCTAACCATTCTATTCATAAAACCATATCTATGCCTTCGAGGCCAAACAACAAGAATTGTTGTTGTACTTGTACTTCTTGCACTTTCAAAATAACTTCTCTACATACTCTATTACATTTGATTTTGTGACCATCTCCAACTTCGACCATGTATGACGGAGTGTCATCTACTTTTAGTTGTATTTTTTCTACTAGTTCCTTGAAATGAACTTTTGGGTGGTGCTACAATCTATCAATACTATGACTTTGTGATCATCAATATTTCCCGAAACCTTTAAGGATTGGTGAGAAGTAAATCCCACAATACTATTCATGGATAATTGGGGTGTTTGTCTAATTTCTTATTTAAGTTCCTTTTTAGATTTTTCATGATCATCATCTTGTCAATTATAGATATGACAAGTAATTGTCAATAATGACTATATATTGACACATATTGAAATTAGTTAAAATTTAAATTGATTAAAGATAAATTATAAAGAAAATTTACTTATTCATAAATATATGGTGCAAAATAAATCTTTTTTCCCGATAAGAGATTATTTGTAATGTATATTTGTGATGAGTCCCTAGTTGTCCCGGAGACGGAAGAGGTAATCCCTAGAAGGATCACTAGGAGCATGACTAAAAGGGACACTTCCTCCTCACCTTTCATTTTTAATTTACTTAGTATTTCTTTTCCTATGTTTTTGACTTATTTTCGTTTTTCTTTTGTAGGCTCACTTTTTACACCTCCTTTTTGAAGAATACCACCTCTTTTTGTTGGAAAAGAGGGCTTAGATACATAGGATACATGTGTGGGCAGCCCAAAGGTGTAGGACACTCCTTTTTCATATCCTACACCCCTTTTTGAAGAGGAAAAAACATGGCTTGCGGGTTTGATTGGCTTTGCACAACCCATAGAGGATCTCACCTCCATTTTCATATTCTCCACACCCTTAGAGGTATTTTTGATGGGCTAGGACAAATTTAACATATTTGGACCATGGGGACCCTAGTCTTTAGGTTTAGTTTAAGTTTATGTCTCTTTTTGTAATTCCATCTAAGTCCCTCCCCGAAAAGCCTATAAATAGAAGGCTTCCCCTCATGTAATGAGGTTGAACATTTATGACAAGTTTGTGAGGTTTCATAGAGTGTTACATCTCTTTGAGTGTCTTATCTTGAACCTTGGTTCAAGTGGCGTCAACCACCACTTATCTAGGGTGGTTCATCCCCTAGTGATGTGCCAACACTCCACCACCACATACTTCTCTTCTCTTCATCTTTTCTTCTTTATTTCTTCACTCCATTTATTTATCCAAGGGGCTGGTCCATTTTTCCAGTCCCTTGTCTTTATTCTTTTCTAGTTTCATTCCATCTCCTCCTCCCTCCATAATACTTAGAAATGAACTTTCACATCTAGATAGACAATTATCTTAATGTCCAGTGGGAATTTTCCTTGGGTTTACTTACTTTATTGCTTAAAATTATGCACCTTATTTTCTTAAAATTTTGCAACTTAATTTGTTTTACATCAGTTTGTGTCTCTGACTTCTTATCACCAGTGGTTAAATGAGTTGAGGATTTTAAAATCCATATACTCTATCTTTCCCCTCACTCACAAATA